CGGGGACAGCTGAGGCTTCAGCCCCTGGACCAGCCAGGGTGAGGGTGTGCCTGTCACCGAGCAGCTTTGTGCTGCTTTAGCTGGCATCCCAAGATGTCCAAACGCTTGTTCTCTGATGTACTGGCTCACACCGTGACTTGGGACCTAGCGACATCCAAACCTCCTGCGCTCTTCTGCTGCCTGGGCTGTTTGCCCGTCCTGAATTCCTCCAGACTCGCACCACGCACCGCGTTGAGTTTTAGTGTGGTGACGTGAGAACAGCCATGTGTTCCCATACTGTGCGGTGTGTTCGTCTTCGATCTAGCAACTGGGGATCTAGGAACTACTTTTTTTTGTAACAGTCCCGCATGTACAGAACAATGCCTCCTAACGCTTTCTCGTGAAAAACTACATACTCTGTGCTGCCCGCCATCCCTCTCTCCAGCATGTTACTCTGAGGTACCTGTGAACCAGAGCTGGCCAGGTTTGTCCTCATGGATGTGAGTGGTAGCTCGGGGCGTCTGGGTCTCATACAGTTGTTCCCTCGTCCTGAGGATTCCTCCTCTATTTTGAGAGAGATCCCAGAGCATGAAATGCTCTGTCCCACTGGTGGGAGCAGAGATGCCACCCAGTTTTGTTCGGAGTTGTCCTCACCGAGGCCTGGAGCGCCCGTGCTGCGTAGAGCTTTACCGAGCTCCTGCTCTGCCACCTTGTCACCCTCACCTGCTCCCTGTATTCACTAGCATTGAAGGAAACTGCTTGCAGGCAACTTGAGTTTGTAAGTCAAGACTCGGTGGTCGCTGTTCTTGTTGGCATTTTCACATATTTGTTTTCTGAATACAAGTACTGAGCTGCACGGCTACAGCTGCTCTGGTGGTGGCTTCTAGAGACTTTGGAAGATATACACGGAAGTGACTTGTCTTCACTTCCTTCTGGATGTGTCTTTTACTCCCAAGAGTAATGTGTATTAGAGACAGTTAGGAAGCAGCTGTTTGAATTCAGTTGCAGAATTGAATCCTTCACAGCGTACGTGATTTCACCTACCTGGTTCTACCTCCCTAGTACAGTTGCACGAGTGTTAACAGATTCCTATTAAACCCTTGGGCCAGGGGGAAACTGTCCCCACATGCAGAAACAGAGACGCATATGTAACAACTTTGGCAGAAAGGTGCGGGAATCCAGAGCGTGAGCCCGGATCCCTGTTATCAGAGTCCTGTACCGTGACTTTGAGACGTCAAGATATTCCCAAAGTATGAATTTTATGCATTTGGGTACCAGTAGGTACCAGTTGAGGAGTGTACTTCTCAGCAAAGATATATATGGGGAACAGAAATTGCACCTGAAATATAAAACATGATTGCTTGATGATCTATTGTCTCATTCTTCCAAAAGAGGAGTTAGAGTTTTCATCCAACTTTACATGTGCTTAGGTTGAGCCATCCCAATGTAGTAAGAGCCTGTGACGTTCCCGAGGAGATGAACTTTCTGGTCAACGACGTTCCTCTTCTGGCAATGGAATATTGTTCAGGGGGTGACCTTCGGAAGGTAATGTCTGCTTTACTTTGCAATATGTAGCAAAATAAGTGACGTGAATGCTGTTTCTGTAACTCTGGTTGCCTGTGAAACCGTGTATGTTCTACGGTGCTTTTCTTTTTAGGTACAGGTGTGGGGAAGCAAATATAAAATGGGGAAAAAACATGCATGGGAAATAAGGCTTGTGTTTTTGAAACTAGAGGACAGAGAGCAATCCAAGGGCAGATACTCTTTTATCCTGAAGCAGCACGTCCTTTCATGGAACTGCTTTAGCTTTAATACAACTTCGTGTAGCTTAGATACTCGCACCCAGCGTGTTTGACTTTGCTGCAATGTCTCTTACCTGTTTGGAGTCTGATCTGGTTTTGATTCACGTGTATCTAGTGTTGTATTGCTCTCAGCACAGGGAAGGATCCTTTTAGTACTGGACTGGGGCCTCCAGGGCTTCAGAGAGTTTCC